TTTCCTGTGCCAACTTCCAAGGCACAACCAAGCAACTTCTTAGAAGAAATTGCTACTTGTAACCAAAGATCTTTGCTAGCCATTCCATAGCCCTGAGGAGGATTCCCCCTGACATGAAGGAACCACAAAGCTACTCTAGGTTTAAAGCAACATTTTACTGTACTGGGGACACCTGGGTGGCTCAGCAGTTGGGTTGAGTGTCTGCCTTCAGCTCAGGGTGTGATCCCGGAGTCCTGGGATGGAGCCTGCTTCTCCTTCTCCTCCCTGCTCTTGCTGTCTCTCGTTCTCTCTGTCTCTCTGCTCTCTCCAAAAAAATAATCTTTAAAAAAATTTTTTTCTTCCTTTTTTATTTTTATTTTATTTTTTTTAAGCTTTTATTTATTTATTCATGAGAGACACACACAGAGAGAGAGAGAGAGGCAGAGACACAGGCAGAGGGAGAAGCAGGCTCCATGCAGGGAACTCAATCCCAGGTCTCCAGGATCAGGCCCTGGGCTGAAAGCAGCACTAAACCGCTGAGCCACCCGGGCTGCCCTTTTCCTTTTTTAAAAGCATTTGACATCATTTAAAAAACAAAATAAAACAAAACAAGCTTTCAGGATCTGTACACTTACCCTCCATTTATGCTCCAATTTTACTCCTTTACTTGAACTCTTGTTCCATTCTGATAAATGGCAAGTGTTAGTATATAGATAAAAAACTCATTTTTATATAGGAACATCATCATCTCATGGACTTATAGGCTTCTGTTGCCAAAAAGCCACATTGCATTCCAACCATAAAGGATTCTTGATGTTTTTAGTTTCTGAACGTACCTTTTTTTTAATTACTTAGTTTTCAGTGATTCTTCCTTAATAGTTACTCTTTTTGAAGTCTTCTTGAGTTCTGGATGCTTGATAATTTAAGTTTTACCAATATGTAATTTTTTATTTTAAAAATATGAAACATTTACCTTGCACTAGAATTCTGATACCCAGAAAAAATGTAGCTCATTTGTCATACCATCCACTGGGATGACCGTGTGTCTTAGTTTGGTTGAAACAGTCTTTGTTTACACATGTTCTTTTGGCATCCTGTCCCACTTAAGCTCTGTCCTACATTTTTTTGGTTTTCAAATATGCAATATTTGAATTGAATGCAATATTACCATTAATAATTGTATTAGGAGAATCTAGGATGGGTAAACTGATAGTAGATCAAGCTTCTGTCATAGTCTCCTCAAGATGTGTGGGAAACAAGCGCAATGAATAGAATTCTCCTTATGACACATGCTTGCATGTATAAGAAAACCAACACCACCTCCATCTTCTCCCCAAATCTTTAAGGACTGCATGTAGATCAGTCAGTGATTTAAAAAGTAGGTGCTTGGACAGGAGTAGCAGAGATAGCCACCTCCTCTCAATGCCAGATGGAGGTGGGCAAGTGCTGGATGCTGGACACAGGGCACCAGCCCACAGCTGCCAGGCATGGTCGTAGAGGGCACCCAGAGGTATAGTTGCCTCCCTATGAAGCTGCAGTGAATGCAGCAATGAAAATAGGAACTCTAGTTTTCAGACGTATATGTATATATAAGCATATATAATAACGTAACATATATATGTATATAACTATATATATATTACATATGTTTCCATGTACACACATTAGGGTAAGTAAATGAGAATTTTTTCACTATTTGGATATTATGAATGCTGTTATAAATTTCTATGTACAAATTTTTGTGAGGACATATGTTTTCATTTATCTTGGGTATGTACTTAGGAGTGGAATTTCTGGGTTATATGGTAACTCTGTTTAGCCATTTTAGGAACTGTTTTCCAAAGTGGCTGCACCATTTTACATTCTGACCAGCTGTCGTAGGGAGGTTCTAATCTGTCTACATCCTCACCAACATTTGCTATTATCTGACATTTTTGTTCTAGCTCTCTTAGTGGGTATAACGCAGTATGCCATTGTGATTTTGATTTGCATTTACCTGAAAACATTTTGGTAATGAGTTTGATGTTGAAAACAAACTAAAAGAACTTCAGGAAGGCAGAATACATTTTCTATCTTTGCTTCTCTTCATCCATCAGAATTAAACATTTCAGCCTTTAAAGAAGTACTTTATAGATCAATCTAATTTCCCTACAATAGTTGCAAGCATTTTTATAAATGAATCTTCTACATTTCAGTGGCATTGCATTCAAGGTCAGTTGAAAGACTTAAATTGAATCATTCAACAAATGAAGCACCCCAAAAATCATCCTCTGAAGCTTTTAGTAAATGGCAGTAATTGAGAGGTTATAAAAAGGAGAACATTGAAATTTATGCTCACCAAAGGAAGAGAACCGGGCAAATTAAATCATGAAAGCTCAAATGTTATATAAGATTTAATTTTTCAATTTTATAATTTCCTCTTGAAATATCTCAACTTGAGAAAAGATTCTTTTGACAGACCTCCTATTTTTAATTGGATGAATTTATATTCTGCACCAGAATGAAAAGAAGCTGAAGTGTGAGAAGGCCTAAGAATTTTGCAACATTCATATTTTAAAAAGTCATAAATAGATACAATATAATTTCTTGTATTATAAAATTTTGGGCAAAGATGCACTAAATAGAGGTAAAATAACATTACCTGGGAAAGTATTTGGGCTGAATAACTCTACCCATATCCACTCTTTAGCAAACTCACATGGAGATCACTCGTGCCTTATATGGAGAATATTTCCATAGTTAAAAATACTATCATTTACAGAGTCAATTAAGGTATCAACAATTTCAACTTTACTAACCACAAAAACTTTGAATAAGATTATAAATAAATTCATGAAAATAATAAAACCATATAGAAAAAAATATATGTTATATGTATATTCCATGATCTGATATATTACAGACAGAGATAGCTAAGGAGCTATCTAGTACATGAATTTTCCCAAAAATAATGACTGTATTAATGTTACATTTTAATGTTCAAATGATCAACATAAAAAGTTGTCTTCTTGTTTTGCTTTAAAGCATACAGATATAAGGGACATCTAGGTGGCTCAGTTGATTAAGCATCCAACTCTTGGTTTTGGCTCAGGTCACGATCTCAGGGTCCGGGAATCAAGTCCTGCCTCCAGCTCTATGCTCAGCAGGGAGTACTTGAGATTCTCTTCCTCTCCCTCTGCCCCTCCCCTAGTTTCTCTCTCTCTCTCTTAAAAATAAGTAAATAAATCTATGGGGAAAAAAATAAAGCATTCAAATATATGCCATCTTTATTTTTATAAAAAAATTTTACTTTGAATATAATTTCAATGGAATCATTTTATTCACAAATGCATATATTTATTTACTTTTTTAAATTTTTTTAATTTTTTTTTTTATGATAGTCACACAGAGAGAGAGAGAGAGAGGCAGAGACACAGGCAGAGGGAGAAGCAGGTGCCATGCAGGCAGCCTGATTTGGGACTCAATCCTGAGACTCCAGGATCACGCCCTGCCGAAGGCAGGCGCTAAACCACTGAGCCACAGAGATCCCCCGCCCATTCAACTTTTAATCAGTTTGATTTTTCTAATTTCCCACCCACTGGTCAGCAAGATGGAGTGGATGTTTGATTAAATATCTAATCTGAAGGCGGCCCCGGTGGCGCAGTGGCTTAGCGCCGCCTGCAGCCTGAGGTGGGGTCCTGGAGACCTGGGATCGAGTCCCAAGTTGAGCTCCCTGCATGGAGCCTGCTTCTCCCTCTGCCTCTCTTTCTCTCTGAGTCTCTCATGAATAAATAAATAAAATCTTTAAAAAATATATCTAATCTGATAAAAATTTTGTCCTATCCAACCATTTAAATGGTCCCTATGCACTGCTTATTCTTTCTGGGAGTCTTTTCAGTGGCTCAGATTGGCTCCTCTTTCACTGTTTCTCTCCTTAATATAGTGTCCAGGTAACTTATGTGACCTGGCAAGAAAACGATAGGCTTCAGGTTCATCTAGTCTCCAAGGGGATTGCCTGGAAATGATCCCTGACACCTGCTTGTTGTGTCTACACAGTGATCTGGTGAAGCTTTGATTTATCCGGCCTTACCTTAGCTTCTTCAATCGAGGTAAAAGGATACAGCAGGTCAGAGTGGCTATACCTAGAGTATGTCTAGGCTTTAATACAATTTCTAGGCTAAGTCATCCCTCACTAAATCACAAGTCACTGACACTCCTGCCTTGAGCTGAGGATGTGATACAATATTGGCATCTTGTGTACACAAACACAGACTCACTGAAAGTTCAGTATCCCCACATGCCTATGTACCTGTTAATGTTATAGTGCTGTAATATAACCAAACTTTGTTATAAAATAATTAATAGTTTTAATAGACTACCAAAAAAAAGAGACATGAACTAAGATTAGCCATGGGCATTATGATAAAGGAAAGACAGAAGCTATGATGAAAACAGAAAGAAATTAGAATGAATGTCACCAAGCATAGTGATTCTATACAGACTGTGAAACCAGTACCATGCTACCAGAGAAGAGATGAAACCTTCTTTGCAAAAAGCAAATGCCTATTCGTCAAGGATGGCTTGAGGACAAAAGGCATGGGCATAGATTATATGACTTCTTAAAGGTTTTTCTAATGATGCCATAAATATTCTTAAGAAAACAACTGGATTCTGGCAACAAGATGAAAAGGTATATCTTCTGATATATAGGGGGAAAGAGCATATCCGTATGCCTAAGGACAAACATATTATTTAAAATCTAACATTATTTGATGTTACTTCATTTTTCACTAAAGTCAATAACAACTTTGATTTTTCAGTCTTTAGGATCCCAAGTTCTTTATGTGTTTCTTAAAATTTCCCTGTTTTTTGACCATTGATAATACTTTTAGCAGTCTTTTATATTAAGTATACATTTTTTCCATTTGTGGTAGACAGCTTTTTTTGTTAATATTATTTTTATGTGTTCTATTTCAAACACCGAGTACTATGTGTGTTTTTATTTACACATTTATTCACATCAGGCTATGTTATATTTTCAGTTGACTTCATAGGTGGACTTGATGCACAATCCTACTACCAGGATCATGTTGAGTTAAAGCCTGTTAACCTGTAAGTAAAGGTGTGATGAGATGGAAAATATTAATCCTTCTAACTTGGTCAAAACTAACCAAACCTGAGATAATTTGGACCTGCTACTACTAATCATTGGTTTAATTTTCCACTCATATTTAAAACACACCTTTTACATGTAACCCAACATCATCATTATTATTACTCATTCCAAAAATAATTTGAAATAGATAACATGGTTTGTTTCTGAAACTTTTTTTTTATTTTTCTTATCAAAGGTTGATTGCCAAATTGGAAAAAAAAAAGGATAATGTAATCTATAGAAGAGAAACCAGATATGTAACTTGGAGGCCACATAACAGAGAGAAAAGTGGAGAAGGATTAGGTTAGAATTCAGGATCCTTGTGTGTGATCTCAGGGCCCTTCCTTGATGCCCCTGAGACTTAGTTCTCCCACCTGTATTATGGTTTCACAGGCAGAGAAGGGAAGTGGATTAAATGGGATAAGGTATGTACAGTATATGTAAAATTACCTATGATTGTGTCTAGTACTCCAATATTTGACTAACTGTTCCTAGAGCACATGGAAGCAAGTCAACAACTATAACAAAAAAAAACATCTTAACCTGGACAGATTGTAACTGAGTATAAGGAAGGAATCATGGTCACCTGATTGATAAAATACTAGAAAGCACGAAAATAGATACAGTGACTCCATTCCTTGAAAACTCTAAGAAACAAACATCTATCCATATTTAGTATAAAATAATAGCTATCATGTGCTAAGCACTTGGCATGTATTATTTCACTTAATCCTCATGGAAATAATGCAATGTACTAGTTAACAGTCCCACTTCATAAAAAAGGAAATAGAGGTACATAGAGGTTAGACAAATTCCCCAAAGTCCCACTAGGAGTAAGGGGTAGAGCTGGGATCTTTTCTGAATGATAAGCTATCACCATGCCTGATATTGTAGACTTGTCCAGATGACCTTCCTATTCTTTCAGCCCAATGTTCTGCAATTCCATTGTTTATAAAAGAAATTATGTAAATTTCCTGTGTAGGAAACATACATGAAAGGCTTCATCTGCTGCCTTTTTGCCACAGCCCCTCACCCCCAGCCCTGAGAAGCCTGCACGGGCTCCTCCAACCTCTCCAGGTTGAATTAATTTTATTCTGGCAGAATGATCGAAAGGAAACATAGCTCACAAGCTACACAAATCAGCACTGTGCCTGTCACATGATAGATGTTTAAATAAATGTCGGCTTCTTAAAGCAAATCCAATTTGGAAAATCATTCACCTTATATAACACTCTGGGACTAAGTAGTCACCACCTCATTACTCATGCTACTGAGTGCTCATAAATGATGTGCTCCAAAAGTTGATATTTGTGGATCTGTGGAACTTGGCAGAGATTGTGACAATAATAAAGATGATCAGTGCATTGGAAGTGAGAAAAGAATGGAAAACAATGCCTAGTTGTGGCTAGAAGAGTCTAATATGCATTCGTTATGTAATAAAGAAGGTGATGAATGATTTCTTTCATCTCCACTGTGAAAAAAATAACTCAGCAGAGGAAATTGCAATATGAAAAATGCTGGTCAGATGTAAGAAAGATCTTTCTATTAAGGAAGGTTATTAAAATTGCAGTTGATTAATGTTGATGGGATCTCCTTTCTTGAGTGGCATGTGTATCTGTGCACCTCACAGTGTTCTCTGGCATGGCCCAGAGGCGAGTGACTGCCATCTATGTTTCCTAATGTCTCTCCCATTTCTGTGAATCAAGAATACATGAAGCAAACCCATGAGATTACCCGAAAGGCTTTGATCAACTCTACTGCCTCCTCGAAGGGTTTTCTCAACTACCCTGTTCACTGATGAACTCTCACACTTTTTTAGCTGAATGTAGCATAAACTACAGGCCGTGGAAGGCAATAGGACAAGTTCCTCCTTTGACAAATTATGCATATTACTGTCAGATGAATATGGAAAGCCTTTCAACCATGAAGGGAGCAGGAATCTGAAAGATCAAACCAAACCTGAATTAAAATCATTGTGCATGAAACAATTTAAGAGGTCAGCGTGTGTGCTCCCCACTGGTATGCAAATATTGCAGTTTATCCAGTTGGCATCAGTCATCCTGCTTGATTTCTTTTAATAAGGCCATTTTATTGGATTCTGTTGCGCCCAGCTCAGTGATGCCATATCACCAGTCAGCAACAAGTTGGAGAAAAAGCCAATCATCTGTATAATTGTCAGACAGGGAGGGAATGCTGGTTTTTAACTTTCAGTCTCTTTAATCTCCATGGAGTACAAAGCCAGATTTTATGAGGAAGCCACTTTATTAAGGGAATAAAAAAATTTTTAAAAAGTGAATCAGAAGAATCCTGAACATACTCTCAAGTACTTGTATGTAGAAGGGTGGCTTTCGACTCCAGAGGGGTAGTTACAAGCAGACATTCCATTGACAGGTAACACTGTCGATTTGCACAGGAAGCCTCCATTCTCATGTTTAATTGTGTCATTACTCATAATCATAAAATGTACCTTTGCTGTGCCCACAGTCAAATTGTGTGTGAAATGTGTGTTGGGGGTGATGTGATAGGAGAAGGCATTTTACATATGGAGTTAGTCCTCCATGTTTTGTCTCTTTTCAAAATGATACCAAGCTATCAAGAAGGCCTGATTAAGTAAATTAGGTTAGCTTTATTTGCAAGCCTTTCTCTATTACTTATAATGTGTGTCCTAGATCCCAGGTTAGGTGCCAGAGACAGAAAAATGAAAAATACTTGAGCTTTGACCTCCAGCAGCCAATGATCTAAGAGAGAAGACCTACACAGAAATAAGGAGATGCAAAACAATGTTCCCAAGGCCATTGTTTTGCAGAAGGGAGAATGGTTACTTCTCACTTGCAGGGGTGGGAGTTCAGTGAAGGGATGATGCCTGAGCTACTTAGGAAAGATAATAAAGAGTTAATGGAAAGAAGAAGAGAATAAATGTCCCTGGCGTGGAGGCTAATTTGCTTGGCCATTCTACAGAGGGTGAAGTTGAAATTCATGACTATCCAATCTAGCATTTGCCATAATTGTCACACAAACTGAGCAAGCCTATGAGGAAGTAGATATTTAAGTAAAGCAGGAATCTTGAAAGCTCCTGGTGGGGATGCCCCCAGATCCTCAGCAGCCTTGGCTTTGCCATCTCAACAGCATCACTCTTCATACCCAAAGCTATGGAGATGCCAGCCATAAAAAAGAATGAGATCCTGTTATCTGCAACAACATGGATGGGCCTCGAGGGTATAACACTGTATTATATAAAGTGAAGTAAGTCAGAGAAAGACAAATGCCATATGATCTCATTCATATGTGGAATTTAAGGAACAAAACAAATGAACAAAGAAAAAAGGGGACCCACCCCCCCCCAAAAAAAGATCCAAATGCAGAAACAAACTGATGGTTACCAGCAGGGAGGTAGATGGTGGGATGGATGAAATAGGTGAAGGGAGTACACTTATGATGAGCACTGAAAAATGTATACATTTGTTAAATCACTATATTAAACACTTGAAACTAATATACCACTGGATGTTAATTATACTTGAATAAAAAAAAAAAAGAAAGAAAGCTATGTAGGTGACCAAGATTCCTACTATCCAGTGAAACCCCAGCCAAAGGATCAGGTTTGGCAGAGTCAGTGGGGAAAGAAGACCCTCTTGAGCTTGACTTTAGTCTGGCATGGCAAAGAGAGGTATAGAATAAGTGGGAGGCCCTCGGTGTCCCCCACATCACACACACACACACACACACACACACACACACACTGTGAGGGGGGCAGGGCTGGGTCCATCAGCCTTGCACTGGTGAAATACCACTTAAAAAAAAAGAATTAGAAAATGCTACAGAGATGCACTCAGTGGTCGTTGCCTGGGTCTGGCTTTGGGCCATGTGGCACACAGGTCAGGGATAGCCTGTGTTGGGGGTCCAGCATCTTGGTACCACCATCACTGAGGGAGCTATAATTCTCGACATAGAGCCTGGGTCTCTGCCAAGGCCTCCTCCATCACTGCCCCCACACTGATATCACCTTTTGTGAGGGGAAAGAGCAAGGGTCGCTCTCATCATAGGAGCAGTGAGCCATGTGGGCAGTGGTAGCTTTGAAGAGGACGCTTACCATGCAGCTTATGGCGGAGGCTGCAGTAACACCAGGGGAAAGCACTAATAAAAGCAGATTTATCTGTCAGGAAGAAAAATCACTTGGCAAAACAACCCATGCAGCTATGAAAGAGCTACGGAATTTCAGGGAACATCCTAGTGAACAACTAAATTAAAGTTTGTCAAAATCAAAATGGTTAGCAACTGAGTAGTGGGGAAATTAAGGTCTATGTGGCAGTAATTCTTCAGGTAGAAATAATTAGACCAAAGTACTTTGTCAAAAAAAGACAGTAGTGGAGTTTCAGAACTGTATTCTACAGCAGAGAGATCTGATGACGTTAGAAATCCCCATGAGTAAGATGCCTCATGACTGCCATTAAGAAACACTTGGTGAAAAAGCTTCTTCCCCCACATTCAGCCAGTCTTTTTCTAAGGTTTCCAAATGAGAACTTGACTTTTCTCTGGCACCTTGACTTGTCTGATTGCCTTAGCTGGAGACTAATTTTTCTTCACAAAAATGGTCACCTGCTATGTGGCTAACTACTGATTGTCAGCTATTGCAACTCAGGATGAGAAGACAGACAAGGCTAATTCCCATTTCAGGGGGGCTCCACAATCAGCACCCACCTGTACCTGCACCACCTAGTCTCAGCCTCTAATGGTCCAAGCCCAGAGGAAATTGGTCTCTGATGACGGGCTACTGGATAGAGCCAGAGGTGGTCCCGCCCACCTGCTCTTCCCTGAGAAAAGTTGCTTTGTATAAGTATCCCTGCAAGTTGGTGCCAGACCATTTTGCATTTACAGCACCTAGATTAAGAACCAGCTAGGAGAACAAACAGATGTGTGTGTGTGCGCGCATGCACGCGCACGAGCACATGTGCACACCTGTAGGAGGTACGGAGGTCAGAAAGATGCACTTTCAAACCTTGCTTTAAAAACCAATACCAAGGAAACCTGGGTGGCTCAGCTGGGGTTAAGCTTCCCACTCTTGGTTTTGGCGCAGGTCATGATTTCAGGGCCCTGAGACTGAACCCCAAATGGAGCCCCATGGAGCCCCATGTGAGGCTCTGCACTGAGTGTGGAGCCTCTTAAGATATTTTCACTCCCTTTGCTCCTTTCCCCTGCTAGTGAGCTAGCTCTTTCTGTCTCTCTCTCTCTCTCTGTCTCTCTCTCTCTAAAAACCCAAACAAACAAACCAGTAACCACCAGCAATGTATTAGTAAACTAAAGCTGGAAGAATCTGGAGTCTGTAAGCTGCAAGCTGCATTTATTTGATCACTCCTATCTTTCTCAACCAAGCACCTTAAGGCTAATAAAATAATAACTCTGTCTTTATCGTGTTTTTATTTGTCCTCAATTGTCTTTCACGCTTTCATATTTGTCATTCTAGCTGTCTGTCCCCTGTGGTACACAGAGCAAGGTGTCTATAATCTGCTCAAATGGAGGGCTGCTTACCCTTCCCATTACTGAGTGTGGAGTTCTGTTCTGAACCCCTCTGCCTGAGGGCTTCCGTCAGTCCTTGGAAATGGTGGGCACTTGCCCAGGCTTTTACTTTCCCCAGGGATCTCGAGAATGCAGCTCAACAACAACTGTAAGGCACTCAGCCCCTTCTTAGTTGTCCCAGAGGACAGCTGGGCTCCTTCACATGCCCACTTTTACTTAGCACAAAGGGGCAATGCTTTGGGCTTGTTGCTCTTCCTCTCTTCAGAGCACTTTTGTCACTGATATAAATAACTTTTTGATCCATCATACGAAATGACTAATTAATTTTAGGAACTATGTAAGAACACAACCTAATATGTAGCCATTTGACCACATAGCAGTGAAATGGCTGTATTTATATGGTTCAGAGTGGTCACTAGGCCAGTCAGTTCATGCACCACTATTCTTGCTGGGAAGGAATGATGCCACCAACAGTGCAGCCAGCAACACACAAAGAGGGCCCATCGTGACCATGACCGATGATCTGCCCTGTACCTCACTGGGATCTCTAAGACCTTCTAATTTGACATGTGACCTCATTCACTGCCCCCTGAACCTTGTGGAACCTGGTTCTCACACAGCCTTGTGAAGCATGGGATGCTTTTTCCAAAATGAGAAAACTAGCATCTGAATGGTAACCTCCAGGGAAATGGTCAATTGCTGTTTTTCCCAGAACTCTTAGCAGTCTTCTCAGCCCTTGTCATAGATATTAACAGGATGAAAATAGATTTACTCGGTGATGTGGAAACATGGAGCACCCTCCTCCCCCAAATTAATCCACATATGTAAACTAACTTCACTTTGCCTGTTTCCAAGAGAAAATAACTTCTGACTTTAAATTTAAATGCAATGAACATAAATCAAATTTTATACTAAAAACATATCTTTTTATATTCACATCAAGAAATATTTATAATCACATGTTATGACAGGTTCTAGGAAGAAACAAGACATAGGAAAGAAAATAGAATACACAGATGAGAGCACATGTGTCTGTGAACACACAATCACAAACACACACACACACACCAGAAGTGATAAACAGAGAGACTTAGAAAAGCAATAGAAAAAGATACAATGACAGGTCTCTCAGAAGACACGCTTTGAAATAACATCACTATATTATTCCTTGATTTTATTCTGCCTTGAGGGTAGGTACCCTCGGGTAACTACTAACATACCTATGAACATCTGAAGAAAAGAAGATATGATCTTAAGGTCTCCAAAACTCAAACTGTTCTACACAGACTCATTGATCAATCATCACACCATTAAAAGAGTGACAACTAGACATGATGTGTCTCCAGATGTGATACCAGAAGCTGACACAGGACCACATATGAAGTATCTTGCCACAAGGTCAAGTCACTTAGACTGAAAGTGTAGAAAATACAAGATAACAGAATTAGTTCAATCTGACCACAAAAGTTAAATGTGGTGGGTATATCCAGAAGTTCCCCCCCAAACTCCCATCAGTACTACCACTAACAAACAAAAGCACCTTCCTCTACTGCCTTATCCTCATTCTAGAAGAGATTCATCTGTTGGATGGATGAATAAATTTTAGGACCTTGAGTCTCCCTGCTAACTAAGACTCCATACAAAACTATAAAAATTCCCCCCATTATAATCTCATCTCTTTATCTTTCAGCCTTAATCCCTGTTAAATTACAGTGGGGCAAAAGAGGTAGACGTGGGCTATATGTCTTCCAGAATGTAGAGAAATAGAGGGGCAGAGAAAATGTGATAAGAAGACGGGGAAAGAGCCAAAGGACTCCAACTCTTGAAGTGTGCAGGAGGGAACAGCACTTATACAGAGAAGAGTGGTTACCCAAAAGTAAAATTGGGAGGTTGGAGGGTTTTTTCAGCTTTTTCAAATTATGACCCAAAAAGTCCATTCTGTGCCATAGAGCAAGTCATTGAACTGTGTTAATGAAAGAGAATTGCTAGATGGGCTATAAAATAAATGAAAAACACAGCCTCTACTGGTAGGATGCTTACAATTTAGTTGGAGGGAGGAAACTTACATACCTGAGTGAAACAAAGCCAAATTAAATTGTGAAGTTGAATAACATTAACTCCACAGGGGCTACAACAGGCATCGTAAGACCCGCTATCAGCGGGGTGAGAAAGCAGGATGGCTGAGGTGGAAGTACAAGTCTTCGAAGAGGAGAAGAAAGGTCAACTGAACCCTCAGGATGAATAGGATTTGAATCAGCTAAGACTTTTTTCTTGAGAGAAACAGTGAGAGCAAAAGTATTCACAAATACTTTAAGTGCCAAGTGTGGCAGGCAGTGTATTGAAGTTGATATAGTAGGAAGATGCATAAGCTAGAACAACCACCTCCCAAAGACTTACTACCTGGTATAGACTCAGAACCAGTAGACAAGAGTAACTAGAGATGGGAGTGTGTATTCCAGAAAAACAGAACGAATAGGGTGTGTATGTGTATGTGTGTGTGTGGAGAGAGAGAGCGAGACAGAGAGAGATTTTAAGAAATTAATTCATATGATTACTAGACCAAGTAAGTCCAACAAGTACAGGGAAAGTTTGCAAACTGGAGAACCTACAGAAGAGCTGATGTTACAGTCTGGAGTCCAAAGGCAGTGCGGATGCAGAATTCCTTCTAGTCTTTGTTCATAAGGCCTTTAAAGGACTGAGTAAGACCCACCCACAGGATGGAGGATAATCTGCTTTACTTAAAGTCTATTGATTTAAATGTAAATCTCATCTAAAAAAAAACACCTTCACAGTCATATTTAGGTTGTTGTGTGACCAAATATCTGGGTACCCTTACCTACTCAAGTTGACACATAAAATTGATCATCACAGGGTGGGATGTATGTAGGAACATAGATCAGTGGTATGAAAGCCAGATGAGGATGATTTTTGAGCCATCAGCCAACAGCATGCTGTAGGAAGACAAGGCTAGGGATGTATCTAGTAATTTGGAGACATAATACTACCCTATCATCTTTATCTCAGGACAATCAGAAGCCATCCCTTTACATCATTCCTCAATTGCTATAGGGTTGACACTTCTCTCCCAGGAAAGCAATCCAATATTATGAATTTTTTACCTGATTGCACGCCCTATCTGAAGAGTGGGGGCTTTTTTTTTGGCCTTCTTATTGATACAGTCATAGGCATGGACTGCATGAGGAGCACCCAGAAACTATTTTGCATTTTGAAAAGCCTGGATGAATAGAAAGGAAATTCAGTTTTCAATTTTGAAGTTTTTTAAAGCAATTCATTTTTTTCTGTTTTAGGTCGAAATAAGTAACGGCGCTGACTCTGAAACTTGGCTGCTGAACTTGACTTAGGAAGCAAAGCACCACTGAGAGCATGTCTCCACATTGACACGTTTCACTTCCTCCCAGAGGACGGCCTGCGCCTCCCTACTTCCCCACAAATCATGGAGTTCTTTGGTCACAGCCTATGTATTATTAGCATTGTGCGCTAGATGAGTTGTAGGTGATTGGGTGGGTATTTTTTAAGTCATTTTCTTCGTATATGAATACTTGTAAATTATTTTTAAAAATCGATTTTTCATTTTTTAACAAATTTAATGTGAGGCATGCAAAATGAAAAAATTTCATGAAAACCTTCTACAGTCAATTCTAAGAGAAATACTGGGTTTTGTATTGAAGCGTTCAGTCAATGTTGCTGACCACTGCGGTTATCCTATGCCTGATGGAGTTTGCATTCACAGACGTTACAGGGGACTACTCAAAGTGAGGTAGATGCTGTGACAGCTGACAAATGGACCACAGATCTGACTTTCAGACTGACCATGGGTCATTGTTTCAACACCACAGGACAAAACATGGAGTCTTTTGTTTTCAACTTTCCAAAATGCAGAATAACATTATGTCAGTCTAAATTTTCACATTCATGTGCATTATCTTGTTCTTCCTGTATTCCGAAAAGTATATATCAAGGGGGCATGACAAAGTAACATGATTAGTAGGACACCTTTCCTCTTTTGGAGGGTACATAGGTATCTCTGATGTTCATATTTTCAATTCTTTATCCCAATTCTGACATTGGCATCTGATCAAAACATACAGATGTGGGATGGGGAGACAGAAATCACAACTGCAATTCTGCAGTCAGGGATATTGCTCTTAGATACCCAAAAGGAGTACTAACTAGAATTTCAATAAAAATTTGAAAAAAAAAAAAAGATATCCAAAAGGAGCTTTAAAATGACATGGAATTTTCTATAAACTCTTCTTAAAAAGATATTTATATTTGTTTTACATCAATTTTTCTTTCTCCTGCCCCATCCCAATAACCAAGAAAGTAATATCGGAAACATAATTTTCCATGGGAAAAACATTATAGTTTTTCCTTTCATATATTTCAATTACTATTTCCTATATCAAAATAAGTCTTACTTTGTACAGCAACCAACATGAGGCCACCCATTGGCCACAATATTTTGTACATGTGCCTATATAATCCAAAAGTTGTTAGTTGGCCCATGCATCTCTAAGAAGTCAATCTGTAAATTATCGAAAATCATATGCAGAATTTTTATGTGTATAGAGATTTTTTTTTTTTGGAGTCCGTATATTTTATGAGACTCTGAAGAATCAGAACTAATACAACAAAGTCTGCCCTGGTTCCTCCCAGTTCATGACAACCACCGTGGACATTCTACTGGCTCATTTTAGTCCCTAGCCTTTCAATTGTGCCCCCTCAGTCAGGTGATGCACACTGAAACTCATCATTTTTCATTCTACTGAAAAAACCCAAATTCAAAAGAAGAGGAGTTCATAGGGAAGCTCAGAGATGGTCAAATCCAAGCCACCATTGCGCAGTTGAGGGATCTGAAACCTAGGGGATTTGGTGGACTTGTCCAGAGTCCTGTGTGCATACAGAGTGGCAAGAGCTATGGCCAAAGGAAAGAGAATTAAAGGGCAAATGGTAGGGTTTGTGTCCCAGGCCTTTTGACAGTGCTGGACATCTTGGCCTTGGAATTTTACTCATCTGTAAGGCAGAACTATAATCCATCCCAAGAGAAAGGTGAGAATCAGATAAAATGTAAAATGTATCCAGTCGACTGTGAAGCATTCCACCAATTGAAAGAGGCAGTTATTATTGTAATATCAGAACAAGTTGGACCCTGTCTGGAGCTCTTACTGTACAGCCAAGTGTTATGAAAACACCAAACTATTCTAAGTTTTCTAAAAAGTAGCTTGAAAAAAAAATTGCCATGTCCAAATAATTAGAAATAATGAATATTAAAAAATTTCATTTCCTAATTTAAAAATAACATTTATATTTCAAGGTTAATACATATTATTATTACGGATGAAGCTAATAGAATATCAAAAACAGAAAGCCAGTAAGACTAGAATAAAACTAATACATGAGTATTTTAATTTGTCATTTCATTGCCTCCCCACATACACACATGCGCACAAACAAAACACAGTTAACATTTCACAAGGTAGCACCATACTAACTTTTCTTGCTGTATTATCTTGGTGTAAATGTGTACATACTGCTAAGATGCACTGGAGAGTCCTAGACCTTGTGTAACTGCCAATGACAGATTTAAGGGGGAGATCGTTACATTAGTGATTTTTCTATAGATTTTCAATATAGGTAACTGCTTAATATGGGATCCCAGCAATCCATAATGATCATTCTAGAGTTCCAGAGAATTTACCTTTCATCAGAGACAGCTTAGATCGATCTCCTCTCCTTCCCACTTTTCTTCTCCCTACCTCACCTCTCCTCTCCTGGCTGCCCCTTAGAGGTCCTGTTCCCCTATGACAAAGGGATGAAAAGAAGTGCTGAGCTTTACAGTAACGCTCAGCAGTCATCCTTGATCTGGGTCTTTGCACACACTGCTGTCATGGTCACTGCTCCTTAGGAGGGAGTGCCTCCAGTTCTTGCAGTTTTTGCCTCCTGTTGTAGGAGATCCATCCAGCACTGTGCATTATGCAGTGGGGCTTTCAACAGACCTGTTCAGTATGTTCTCCATTCGAGCCAAATCTTGACATCTCCATATGCAACATGTGTCCAGAGTAAGGGAACATGAATGTGTCCCTGAGCATGCACTCATTTGCCAGAGTCTCAGCAGCCTGAGAGATGGTGCAGCTCTAGGTTCAAGAGTGGACCTGGCAAAGCTAAAGATAGGATGTCCACTGCCCACTAGCCCCTAGTGCTGACTGGAATGCAGAAGGGGAGAGTTAAAACCAATGTTTTTTTTTTCTTCTTCTTCTTTGATCAATTTTGGTATTGTGTCATATAAAACCTTGGTAAACCCTACCCCAGGCTGTATCTTCTATTGTGTCCATGACTTATCCTTTTGCTGGCATTGTGTGTCCACAGGCACCTGGGATGCTTTCCAGCCTACCTTCTATTCGTTTCAGCTTCCAGCTATATTTCATGACTGCAAAAGAGGAGTTAAAGAGCATGTGGCCTGTTAGAGAATTCCCAGGAGACAGAATACATCTTGAGGCATAGAACCATCTACATCAGACAAATCTCAAACATCTCTTAGGAAAAGCTCTAAGCTAATATATCCTCAAGTATCTTAAACCTTTAACCTGCCCTATAACATGAGGGTATGTGTCCCTAAAACAAAAACTTAAGTTCTTATCACTTGAAAATTTGGAGGCTTTTGACTTACTTTTCTTGAAGATAACTTGACACCTTGCCCTAGTAAAATATTGACTTCTTTCTCTCTTTCCTTCAGCAAAATAAGTGCTGCTATTTCCTATAGACCTCACTAAGGAAGGTAGCCAGCTTCAAGAGGCTGGATCTAACAAAATAGAGCAAGGCTGTCATTTGTCTCACTTAATGAATGGGACACTCATGATTGAGAAGAATTTGTGTTCCCTAGAACACCAGCTAAAATGTGTGTTGCAAAGCTGAGGAAAACCATCATGACTCTGCTAAATTGAGAAGCAAATAAAAACCAAAATTGCACTTTTCAATCTTTGTAAATTAGAAAGGAAGCTTGCCAGAAATAAACATCTTCGTTTTAGACCTAATTTAAAAATTTATACTATCCCAAAATGTGGACTCAGTAGGGAGTGAATATTTTGGCTTCTCCTTTCTGAGTCACCTTAGTATGTAACTAGGAGAACTTTTACAGTTGATTAAAATTCAAATGTTCTAACTTGACGTTTTAGCTCAAGGTAGGAGCTGCTTTCAGGGGATAACTGAATTAAGCAGGAAAAAATACAAATAATTGATCTTTTTAAACTTAGAAACCTTGAATGTCTGTTTCTCTTGTTTCCTTCCCATTTAGGAGTCATCTATAACCTTTGCCAGATAGTTTGTGAAAGTGTCTGTTAAACCTGCTGAAATATTCATGATAAACAGGCCCACAACCTAAGAATGTTATGTCCAAAAGTAGAACTGAAAAAAGAAACCACTGCTCGTTTGACTGCATAATGTGCAATGCAGAATTGGGGCAGGTATATTTTAATTGTTAGAGGAAAGTATTTATTAATAAAGAATTCTCCAAAAAACAAAATTCTCAAAAATTTTAAAATTTGTAGGCAGCTTCTCTCTTTTCATCCTAAATAAGCTTAATTTCTTTACTGAGGACTAAGTTGGGGGGGAGGGCGGAGAGGCAGGGAGCCATTTCTAGAAAGTGGATAAGCTTTCTTAAGTATCAATATTTCTAGAAAAATTTGCTGTCAAATGAAAAACTAATCATTTTCCTTGGGCCTGCAAGCATATAAAAGGCAAGAATCATGTTAAATGCTAGACATTTTAAAACTATGAAATATTCAAAGAATCTAAAATATGCTTTGGTTTGAACTTGAGAGTGAAATTAAGTAAGAAGAAGAAAAAGAAATGAGGTAGGAGAGAGAAAAGAGAGGTAGGAAAGGAGAAAAGAAAGGGAGGGAGAAAGGAAAGAAGGAAGAATCCAAAATTGAAAGTCTACCTAATTTGGACATGGAGATGTCAGTCCTTCACTTAGAGTTCTTGTGCTCCTTTCTTTGACTAAAAACATGAAACCATTTTCTGTCAAGGGCATGCTTTTTCTTTCCTCTCCAGAGTTAGGTTTTTGTTTTGTTTTGCTTTGTTTTAAACAGTTGGAAGAAACCAATGATCTTTCTAGTTGTTCTCATAGAACTTGCTTTGGCAGGTAAACTTGTCAGTCTGTAATAGTTAGGATTAGATTTACCTACAGAAGAGAGAAAGAAAGAAAAGGAAAGAAAGAGAGAAAGAAAGAAAGAAAGAAAGAAAGAAAGAAAGAAAGAAAGAAAGAACAGTGGCTTAAACAAGATGGAGGTCTAGACCTCTTCATATTTCAAAATTCTAGAAATAGTCAGCAAAGAGCTGGACTTGGATTCCCTAGAGATGAGGACCCAGGTTCTTTCTTCTTTTTCATTACGTGTCCTGCCATTCTCAAGCTCTAACACAATTCAAGATGGCTGCCAAAGTGCCAGCCATTGCTTTTGTATTCCAGCCAAAAAGAAAAAAGGGACAGAGAAAAGTGCTTCTTTCATTTAAGGACATGTCTCAGAAGCTGTACATAATACTTCTGCTTACATCCCATTAGCTAAAACTTGGTCCACCCTAAATTTAACTGCAAGGAAAGCTGGGAATTGTAGTCTTTAATCTTGGTAGCCTAGTATCCATCTAAATTTAGGGGCTTCTTTCTTAT